CTTGGAGCAACCTGCTCTAGTGGAAGGTGTCCCTGCCCGTGGCAGGGGTTGGAGCTGGAGGAGCTTTAAGGTCCCTTCAACCCAAACCAGGCTGTGACCCTGTGATGATTCAACGAGGCAGAACACCCCACTCCGCACAGCCACACACTTAACTGCAGCTATTCATAACATAACCAAATTCATAACATAAAAGGCCAATATTGGCTTTATAGCAAAACATGTGTAGCTATGAAAAGCTTTACTGATTTAAAAGCCAGGCACTTTTTAGGTCAGACATGAGACAAATGCACTCCCAAATTCCTTCCATTTAAACATCTTCCTGACTAATTTTCTTACTTGATCTTTCAAACACCAATTTGCTTCTGAAAGGGATGCAGGATTCTTCTCAGCTGCTCCACTCAGCAGCTACAAAGATAACCTCCTCTTCTCCTCAGTGTCCTCCTCCCTTCAACACTGTCCTTTAAGCTGGCGGGCAAAGCCCTTCCCTCTTCCCTTCCTCCACCTCTTTTTTCTGCAGCTGAATTTGTCTTTAGGAAAAGAAACGACACAGAATCATCATGTTTCCCATGTCCTGGCTCACATTAGTGAGTAAGGCTCTAGGGCCCAGTGAGGGGATTTTAATTTGCTTTTAAGTTTCAGGCAGCAAAGTTGATGAAAATCAATAAATCATTAGGTTCACGTACTTATAAATAGTTTTCATGCTGCTGTCAAAGTGCCCAGATGCAGATAATTGCTGATGCTTTCTGGTCCAAACTCCCTGCCTGTGCTTAGTGCCTCAGAAAACAAACAGGAATGCAAAATCAAGCTCCTGAACACCCTGCTCACCAGCCCCACTCCCATCTCCCTGCTGCAAGCATCTACAAGAGCAAAGGTGCTGATGGTGCCAGAGGATGAGGAGATGCCCTGGGAGATGCAGCAAGGAACTTGCCTGTCCCAATGATCCTCTCGATTTTAATACTAGCGTTATCCAGCTCTTTGGCAAAGAGGTGCACGGCCTGCATGGGGTCTTCACAAGTGTCAGGGTCGATGTATGTCCTCCTGGTTGGTATTTTAACTGCAGGGAAGGCAGAAAGGTGCGTGAGAAAGGCTCAGCCTGTTCTCCCGGGTTATCCACCTCCAGGTCTGCCGGCAGGACTAACTTGCCACCTTTTTATATGCAAAGCAAAAGACTCGCATTTCAGGTTGCTAGGAAATTTCTTGTGGGATTAAATGAACCTCATCTCTCTGCTCCACTGCCACAAGCCTTGAGTTAAAGGAGAGAAGCTCCTTCACTGTAGTGCAGCTCCCTCCTTGACCGAGTCACTCATACTGATCCTCAAGTATCCAAATCATCTCCATTCCCAAGACCTCTAGGAGAAATAATTATAATCACGAACAACCACGTGCCAGGCCCCCTCCATTAGCAGCACGGGCAGCAAAATGCCTCCCACAGGCACCCACCATCTGCTGCAGGGCCAGCAACCCTGCCCAGGAGCACATCCAGGACAACCGTGTGGAATGAGGCTGACCTGCTCACAGGAGCACTTGCAAAGGGACAGGACAAGGGGGAATGGCTTGAACCTGCCACAGGGGAGATTGAGATGAGCTGTCAGGCAGAAGCTCTTCCCTGTGAGGGTGCTGAGGCGCTGGCACAGGGTGCCCAGAGAAGCTGTGGCTGCCCCATCCCTGGCAGTGTTCAAGGCCAGGTTGGACACAGGGGCTTGGAGCAACCTGCTCTAGTGGAAGGTGTCCCTGCCCGGGGCAGGGGGTTGGAGCTGGAGGAGCTTTAAGCTCCCTTCAACACAAACCAGTCTGTGATGCTATGAAACAGCCAAGCTGAATCCAAGCAGCATGCAGGCTCTGCTGCATCCGAAATGCTTCAGGGAGCACAAGAGCATGTGTACGCTTCACGGGCATATGCCAGGAATCAAATAAACTCATCAATCCTGATATCTGAATTTCCTTTGACAACTGCTGTCTGTCTAATTACTGATGCTCAATAATCAAGAGTAGCCCCAGAAAACAGAAGCTGTGTTCTCATGCAGCCGTTTGTGGGAAGCTGACAGAATAATTCACACAGCCCATGGAAAGCTGAAGCGTCCCCATTTCCTTCGGCACAGCACTGACCCGTGTGTGGGAAGGACAGACACTGGCTTATGAAGCTGTCAAGCCTGCTGTCCCCAGGGAGCCTCACTGTGCTGAGCCCCTGCTCTGGGATGATGCAGGATGACAACACTTCAAAAGGAAGGACTCAGGGCTGCTTTTCTGGAAGCTGGGTTATTAATAGCAATAAACACAGGGATCCCCACACAGTTGTCCCAGCCATGGTGGCCAGGCTTCACTTACAGTGGAAGTACAGCTCCTCGTCCCCATCCTGGCTGGCTTTGCTGTATCCACACTGTCTGCAACGAGAATGAAGATGCACACTGTTATCTGGGCAGCAGCCTCTTGCTGGCTGTATGCCTCAAGTCACAATGCCCAGGAACAGAGTCCACCCCACGGCACGAGGAGCCAGCAGGCTCAACCCAGCTCCCACACTCAGAGCCAGCGCTGCCCCAAGCTCCCAAGGGACTTGGCTGTGGTCCTCCCCTGCCCCAAACCCCCTCGGTCCATGCCTCAGCCCCGCTCACCTCCTCCAGACCATGGTGCCGATCACCATGGACACCAGCACCGTCAGCCCCGCGATGGCCACCACCGCGATGATGAGAACGGGGTTCTGCTCGCTGGAGGCCACCGTCACTGTGGGAGGGAAGCAGAGGTGATGAGCAGAGCACCCCAGGAGGCCAACGGGGCAGCCCCGGCTGCTCCTCCCAGTGCCAACTGCATCCTCCAGCAAGGCAGGGGGACAATTCACCCTTAGCACCGGGCTGCTTTTCACCATCCTCACAACATCTCCCATTCTGGTTCAGCTTTAAGAGCTTGAGCTGGTGCAGTCGGACCAATGTGCAGGGCAGTGCTGCAGGCACAGATGGAGCAACCCCAGCACTCCAGGCTCCTGGTTCTGTTAATCAGCACTGAGGAAAGGTTCCTGTTTATCAGAGGGACATATTAAAATTTATAGCTTACAAATAGTTTTCCTTCATCACATTAATCCCTTCCCTTCCTGCTTTTGCAAACAGGGGTATTAGAAAGCTACATTCTATATAAAAATTTTATTGGTTTCAATTCATTCTGAAAATGTCTTCTGTGTGGCAAATGGATGCAATTTAAAGCCCTGTTAAACACAATCTGTGAGAGTCGTACTGAGCCAGCCATCTCAGGGCTTTCATTTCTAGCCAGGGTGGGTTATTAAGCTGAAGCCCAACCATCTCTCCAAGCCCTCTTTTAAGTCAGTGAAATAAGATACTTCTGGACTATAGTTATGAATGAAAACTGTGAAAAGGAAAAGCCCCAGCAAATAACACTGATGCTGGCTGACCTTACTCAGCCAAGCAGCTAACAAGCCAAGCGCCTCACGAGCCAGGATGGCAGCGGGGGTAAGCAGTCATCTCCTATCTGGGGCATGCATCCAAGGCCAGCTGCATCTCCAGGCTGGCCTTGCCTCCTGTGCTGTGCCTGCTGTATGCTGCACAGCTCCACAGACCCTCAGCATTTACACCACCAGGGACCAACACTCGCTCCCTTCCAGTGCCTGTTTGGTGGCACCACAAAAGGGACCTGGTGAGATCTGTTCCAGCACCAACATCACACCAAGGGAAAACAACACCCAGTCACTGGCTCTGCTGAGCTCTTCCTTGGGCAGTCTCAGTCAAGGAGGAGAGAGTCTGTTCCCAGCCTCTACACCAAAAAGGAGCCAGAGACTGGCTGCCCTCACTGGTGCACTGAGTAAGGACAAACTCCTCCAGGACAGACAGACCAGCAGCAGGGTTCAAAATCAAACAGGAAAACGCAATTAAAAGCAAACTCTGGGAAGTATCTCCCCTCAGACCCGGAGCAGATGAACCAGAGGAAGAGATGCTGCTCCAGGAAACCAAGACCATGTGGGGCAGGAGCAGGGAGCAGCAGCATCCCCATGGCTCAGTTCAGAAAGCCTCATGTCTCTGGTGTAGGAGACAAGCCTTGCCAACACTTACACTCTGCCAGGGTCTCCACTTCAATACTAGGGTTGTAGTTCCCAAAGTCTGGTGAGGAAGATGTCCGGATTTGGAAAATATAGAGGGTGCCAGGCTTCAGGTTATTGACAGTCACGGCTGTTGATGTGGTTTTCACAGTTGAGTAACTCTGGTCTCTCTGATCCTGTGAAATAATGAGATACCTGAGATGGAGCTGGACTGACAGCCCTGCCCCGGAGCAGGCGCAGCACCCCTGGATCTTCCCCTGGCCTCTGGCTCCCATCAGGGCAGTCTATCTAAACAGAAAGCCTTCAACAGGAAGAATACATTTACTAGATGTCTCATTAATAGAAATTACATGGAAAGGTCACACAGAATGGCAGATGGACCTGGTGATGTGCTATGGAAACAGGTAGAGGACGGGATGCTGGTACTTTCCAGTCCCTTCCTGCTCCCTTGCTACAGCCGCTCGAGCCCTGGAGTAAATACACCCGTATTAGCACACGCTGAGTAATTAAAGCTGGCAGGTGGGTTTGCAAAGCAAACCAAGCCCCGACAGCTCCCACAAAGCTTCCCGTGGTTCAGTGCAGCCACCATCAGAGATCGTTTTCTCAGCCATGTCAGGTAGAATTGAACAAGTTCCCCAGTGAGAAGATGAGATCTGGACCAGGTTATCTGATGCTGCTTCCCACCGGGAAGCCTCCCTCAGATCCCACACGTGTGTGCTGCGCCCTTGTTACACAAGGGACCGGTCCCAAGGAGCATCCCAGCACAGCAACCCCGGGCCATGACTGTGAAATGTATTTGCCATTTGATATGCTTTCCCCCTTGAATCTCCACAGTCAAAGTACAGCTGTAAAAGCAAAGATTAGGAACTAAGTTGATTTTCATGTCAGCATCAAGAGCCTCATTTCAGTGAATAACTGCTAAACCAGTTTGAATTCCCTACCCAAGCAGGATGTTTCCTCATTTCACATACCCTGAGTATCTTGTTGCTGCAGCCCATTTGCACAGGAATTACCATCTCGGGCTTCAGCATTCGCCCTCACACACAGATTTCTCCTTTCAAATCTATCAGAGGCTGAAAATCACATTAATATGAATCAGCTTCATGGTAGCTTGTTTCTAAATACAGAACGCCAACATGTCACCTGCACAGTTTGCTTGATATGTAATCAGCTCCATAACAAGCCTGAGCACACGCAGATAAGGTAATTTGTGGAACTGTGTCATAAACTGCATTTATTTTGATTTGGAGCATTGTCCCTGCTCTCTGCCCACTGGTTTTTCCTCTCAAAGTCTCAACCCACCTGTCAAATAAAAGCTGGGCTTAAAATTAAGAGATTGTCAGAAAAACCTTTGCTTGTGACCCCTCCTGTGGGGACCACTCAGAGCTCATGGGTTGGGCGGCTTCCTGAACCAGTGAAGGCCACAGCATCCAAGTTTCCCAAAGAACAGGCTGTGAATACAGGTGTCAACTTGTCAGAGATTTAGAAACCCAGTTTAGTTTAGCAGCTCCCGTCTACTGGCTAATGGCAAGCACCCAACTCTCACGTTTCTTGTGGTCTTGAAAAAAAGCCCTCCACAGCATTCAAAACATAGTAATGATAAAGAAAGGAATGAAAATGATTGGCTTTCCTCTCTCGCAGGGAGATGTCAACGTTGGGACTGGATGAAATTTTGCTGCACAGATAAGGGAAAAAAACCACTAATGAACGTAAAACTCTACAAATAATCCGAATCTCCCCAAACGTGCAGACGCAGCTTGCATCACACTGTGGGAGCAGAAAGGACCTTGCTGGGCCCTGTTTCAAGTGCTCCTCTTGCTTTCAGATGCCAGTAAAATCCCAACAGCACTGTCTACGGACACACATTCCCTCCCTTTCCCACCACTTCATGCAGCGCACATCCCCAGCATCACACAGGGCCAGGCTGGGCAAGGGAAGTACCCGGAGCTGGCTGGGGCATGACCAAGAGCTGGAGCCATTCCCCAAAGCCATTCCCCAGAGCCTACCTTCTCGTAGTACTTGACCTCATACTCGGTGCCGTTTGCGGTCGGGAAGCCCGGCTCCTGCCACGACAAGGAGATGCTCTTCTGCTCAACTTTATCTGTGCGGATGTCAGTGATAGGATTTGATGCTGAAAAAGCAGAGAACAAAACAGGGGGTGAGCACGCTGCTGCTGAGGGCAGAGCTTCCCTCCTGCTCCAGCAGCATCCAAATCCCCCTGCATCCAAGTGCAGGGACACCTTCCACCAGACCAGGTTGATCCAAGCCCCATCCAACCTGGCCTTGAACACTGCCAGGGATGGGGCATTCACCTGGGCTGTGAGTCCCACATCAGCCCAAACATGCTGAGTTGTGGTAACTTCATTTCTGCTTCTGCCTGGTGATGCCACAGTGAAAACTTCAACAATTTAAACAGCTGAAGAGTGGTGCTGCTGCTGCAGATGCCAGTTCCCACGCTCTGAATCAGGATTGAAATAGGGCAAATTCTAAGCTGATGATCATACAACAGGAGAAGATGGTGGTAAAATACGACAGCTTTGTAAACTGTAGGTGGCTAGTAATCTTGGACCAAAACCAGGCAAAAAAAACCTTAAAAACCCTTAAAAAGCCTTCAGCCATGGTGCTGCAAAGGGGTCTGAGCAGCAGCTGACACCCAGTGCTCTGAACCTGCTGCTAAGGATTTCTGGGAAACACAAACCCTTTGAGCAGGAGGGCTTGGAGGACATGCCAAGGCTTCTCCAGCCACCTTAGGTGCAGGCTCTACCCCACAGCTGGATAACAGGAGAGCTGCCTGCCCTGCCCACTGCTGAGCACACAGCCCATGCCTCAGGAGCTAGCTGTTTATTTCTAGTTAGCACATGCTCCATTCTGCATCTCCCTCCCTGGCACGTGTGCTCCCGTTTAGTTCATCTCACCAGGCGGGATGCACTTGCCAGCTCTTCCCATGTTAACCAGGTTTGGCTCCAAACAGGCAGGCAGCAAGCAGCTCGCTGTCCCCGGCCATCCGCAGGCTCTGTGCCGGATGCTGATGCCTTTCCTGCACTGGTCGCTGCATTCCCAGAGCCTCCTCTGTGCTGTGTCCTCCTCTGACCACCTTCTCCTGCCTCTAAGCCCTTGAGCTGTGCTCAGTGCCCATACAGCAGCAGCACTGCCTGCTGGCAGCATCGCGGCAGCTCTTCCCAAAGCCTCTCTCCTCCTGCACCAGCAGAAAGCCAGCTGGACCTGCCAGGCTGCCTGCAACATCTCAGGAGCCAGCCAAGGACACAGCATCCCTCTCCTGCCAGAGCAAGGCAGCAGCAGCTCAGATGTGATGATCTGCCCATGGCCAGGGCATCCATCAGCAAGAGCAGGGAAGAAGGGGCTGCCACATGCTAGGACACGTGGTGGTGTGGGTCACCATGTGAGTCGTGCTAGGACATTGCTGTCTTTGCTGCAAAGGTGCTATTCAGGAAAGACACTAAATATTAGTAGGAAAAATAAAGTACCTGCTCCTATAATAAAGGTTCTATTGGAGACCTTTGTTCTGCTCCGGATTGATTAGTGAGGAAATTAGGATTCATTAGAAAAACTGACCTTCCCAGGGGCTGAACACACCAAGTGAGGTCTTCACAGCTCTCCTGGGGTAGTGCCCAAGCTGTCCTGGTTGGGTGGCAGAAAGTCTCCTCTCAGGCTGAGAAGGGAATGGGAAATGGCACAAAAGCCTCTCAAAAGTGTGGCTCTGGGCTGCCCAACCTGCCCTTCACAGCCATCAGCCCGGATACAGCTGGAAGCCACGGTCTTCCCTGAAACACCCTGGTAGACATCATGGGCCAGAACACACCCGGGTGAAGGAGCTGCAGTGACCCCGCAGCTCTACAGCAGGCACAACGAAAGCTGCTTGGGGAAATGGGCTGTTTCTGGCTTGTCCTGCTTCTCCATCAAATCAGGCTGTTTGCTGGACCCTGACTATCCCACGTCTCCTGTGGAGAGGAGGAAGAGGAAAGTAAACCTAAATATCTGTGAAATGTTGTGGTTATTACTTAGCTCATTAATCTTTGCTGAAGAAAAAAGTCCTCCTGATGTTTTATTCATGATGATTTGCTTGTTGACTCCAAGTCCCTTTGGCTTCTGCTGAAAGAGCGAGAGGACCCAAAAAGCAGCTGAGAGCCTCCTGTGCTCATGTGAGCTTGGTACCAGCAGGAAGCCCCATGTCCTCCTGTGGCACTTCAAGACCCATGAGTATGGCTGAATTTGCACCAGTTTGGCAGCTTTGGCTCCAAACTGCTCCTGATCTCCACTTCATCAGAGCCAGGTTTACGCTAGTCCAGGCTGTAGTATTGCAGTTGTGCTGGGAAGGAGTGGAGAGAATCACTTTCACATACACCTCTCCTCTGCAGACAGACTAAACGAGCTGGGCTTGCCCAGCCTGGAGAAGAGAAGGCTCCTGAAGGCGACACCTTAGAGCAGCTCCAGTGCCTAAAGGGGGCTGCAGGAAACCTGGAGAGGGGCTTTGGACAAGGGATGTAGGGACAGGACAAGGGGAATGGCTTGAACCTGCCAGAGGGGAGATTGAGATGAGCTCTGAGGCAGAAGCTCTTCCCTGTGAGGGTGCTGAGGCACTGGCACAGGGTGCCCAGAGAAGCTGTGGCTGCCCCATCCCTGGCAGTGCTCAAGGCCAGGTTGGACACAGGGGCTTGGAGCAACCTGCTCTAGTGGAAGGTGTCCCTGCCCGGGGCAGGGGTTGGAAGTGGGTGAGCTTTAAGCTTCCTTCAACCCAAACCAGTCTGTGACTACGCAAGCAGTTCCCTTCCTCAATCTTGCAGACACACACTGACCTACATGCACAACCAGGAACACACAGCATGCTCACAGGTCTTGTCACTGGGACAGCAGGGTAACCCCACCATGAGCCCTTGGCCTCTGCTTGAGTGCACATCACTGCATGTTGTATGGAACAACAAGTGATACGGGCAGCTGAGATGAGCCTGACACTCCACTTGGGTTTTGCTCCTGTAAACTAAGTTAAGTGCTCCTTGCTGTTTTATGTGATTCCCATCAATAAATCATCACACAGATGCCCTCCTGTATCTCTGAATCTAGCAAGCAGACTGAAAACACCTCAACAAGTGGTCCTGACTGTTAACAAAGTCATCAGGAATAATCACGCTCGATGATGGGCTGTAGAGCAGAACCCATGGTACATGCCAGAAAAGCAGGCGCTAGCCTCAAACATGTCTAAAAGGCATTAAAGAAAATCACACAGACTATAAAGCATTTCACACTGTGAAAAAAAATGTGTTCCCCATCAATATTTTAAGCTCCCCCAACATTGCCTCTATTCTGAAAAAGCACACATTAAATTATTCAGCACTCCGCCTCATTTCATACATTCCCTTCAGTTGGATGTGGGTTTAGTCCTCTTAATTAACCAGTCTACCAGCAGAAAAGGAATAAAACCAGGGGTGGGCACTGGGTCCCTCCACTGAACAACCTGCTGCATCCAGAACCCAAAGAGAGTCCTTCAAGAGGGACAACAGCAAGCACCTAGACATGGAGTGGAACCAAGAGGGCCTGCAGCCATGCAGCAGGAAGAGCCTCTTTGGTGCCCCCCGTCCCCAGGAACGCTCTCTCCACACCTTTCCAGAGCCAGGGCAGCAGAGCAGACACACAGCAAACACGAGCAGACCAAAACCCATCCACTGGTGCTGTCTGCTGGTCCCCATACGGGGTGAGCAGCCATCAGATGGACAGAGCCTGCCATCACCCTGAGCATCTCTGCCCCCCTGCAGCACGGCACTGGGGACAACCAACAACCCCCCTCCGTCGCCAGTAACACCCAACACAGCAAACACACTGGCCATTGCCCCAAGCAACTCCTGCCCCGGGGTCCTTCCTTCCAAACCAAAAAAGAAGCCTCATCACCTCCTGTGCAGCTCTTCCAGGGCTGGTTCTCGCTGCACGGATGGCGAAGACCCCACGCAAGCACAGACCCTCATCCTGCAGACCCGCTGTCCCTCCTTGCTGGGGCTGGGCTGCACATGCAGAGAGCTCTGCTTCACAAGACCTAATTCAGCACAAACCACTTCTCCACAGTCTCAGAGAGGAGAATGCATTTCAGCAGTGGCTGCATTATTAATCTGCAACAGATTTAAAAGCCCTTTAAGATCGGAGCCGATCCCTGCCGGGAATATAAATGACATCGTCCCAGAGTGTACATTTACATAGCTAATGCAGCCCTACTCCTGCAGGTAAACAGCTCCCTTCCCTCCTCAAACATTTTTATTTAGTCCCATGCTGGGGCCCGATTAGAAAAAACACAGTATTAATTTTGCCTCCTGCAGACTAAATAGCATCTTTTCCCCTGCAAATACAATGAACAACTGCTAATTCCCTCTTGTGACTGCTGAAGGGGAAGGGCAGTGTGAAAGCTGCATTCGGAGCTATATTTAGAGGAGCAGAGATCTGACAGCTAAATAGGGTCTTGTTTCTTTGTTTAATTTTTCCTCTGAAGCTGCAGCTTCCCTGCTGCTGCAAATGACTTCTGAGAGCATTGCATCGCGGCCACCAAGGAAGCCACGGCTGCTTGAGGAATCTCTGAAGCCTCCCCTTTCTCTGACCATGTCCCCCTCTTTGCCCATAGGGGCAGGTTTATCATCACTGTCACTTCATGCCCACAGAGCCAAAGGAGAGGAACTGGGCACCGGGGCAACTGCAGATGGAGCAGCACCAGCCTGGCGCTGCCTCAGGAGGGGACACCTTCAGCAACACAAGATTTAAGTGTTCTAAGACACTTCCTGAGCCTCAGCTGCTCGGCTAATTGTGAGCCACCATCTGCATCCGGAGACTCGGCAGCTCCACAAGAGGCATTGATTCTGAACACTTCACAAGATTAATTATGCCGTATTCTTCACGAGCGTTTCAGCTCCTTCAGGAGTGTGGAGTAAGGGGCTGAGATTCCCACTTACCCAGAAGAAAAGCTGTACTGAACAAACAGCTAAGGCACGTGTTGGTATGACAGCCTGGTTGCTTCACTCCCTACCTAATGCCCTTACCCGGCCTCTTGTCTCCAGCTCAGACCTGAAGCTCTAGGTGAGGAGACAGCTTCAATCCCACTTCCCTCTGCATGACACCAGGAGGAAGCCTCTGGATGAACGGCTCATTATTAGACCTTGTCAAGCTCACCCTTCCCGAGCTTGTACATTGGCTCAGGAATAACCTGAGCTCAGGAGACAGAAGATCTTCCCAGAGCTAAATCCACCCTTGAACAGCAAAGATCCTAATGAGGAGCGACACCTCCACCGAAGAGCAGTCTGCAGCACAGCATCACCCCACGGAGTCACAGAAACCATTATATGAGGGAAGAAAAGGCAACAACACGTGCAAAAACATTTGATCAAGTAGTGGGAAAATTATTTATAACAAGATCAAAGTTTAATCTCTTCAGATGAAATTGTTGGCCAATTCCTGCCAAGAGGTATGCGAGGATCATCTGTCTCCATTAGCTGTGGCTTGGCAAAGGGTTTTCATGCAAATTCCTAACATAACCACAGAGGAACAGACAAGGACACAAGCCAGAGCTGATTCTCCTTAGGCACAACTGACAACTGAGGAGGGATCAAGTCCCTGTGGCCACCCAGGGCAAGGCTGGCTACTTGCTTCCCCTCAACATAAACGCGACATGTGAGGTGGAAAAGTGTGAAACTGTGCCACAGACCAGGACAGAAGAGAAAGTTTAATCAATTTTACAAGGGCCTGTAGGGACAAGACAAGGGGAATGGCTTTAACCTGCCACAGGGGAGATTGAGATGAGCTCTTAGGCAGTTCTTCCCTGTGAGGGTGCTGAGGCGCTGGCACAGGGTGCCCAGAGAAGCTGTGGCTGCCCCATCCCTGGCAGTGTTCAAGGCCAGGTTGTTACCATGCTCGCTGCCATCCGGCTGTGAGCCAGTGCAGCACCAAGGGAGACAACAGGCACAGGCTCCTCGCCTCCCCATGGCACCAACCGTGCTGCAGGTCACTCTCCATCTCCTCCTCCTGCCTGTGCTGCTCGTCACTGCTGAGCACCACGTCAGTGCCACCGGAGCAAACCAAGACGTGCCGGGGTACTGCCACAGCATCAGGCGTGCGGATGATGGTGACCATGAGGATGGCACCCACATCACCTCCACATCCTGCATCCTCTCATTAACAAAGAGACCCAGACACCCCAGAGATGATACGTGAGCATAAAACAGTGCAGGC